CACGCTGGGCTCGGTGGTTCAGCCTGTAATCCTGCGCCTTTGGGAGGCTGAGGTGAGTGGATTGCCTGAGCCTGCGGGTTCGAGACCCGCCTGGGCAGCAAGACCTCATCTCTACAATAAATCAAAAAATCAGCCGGGCGTGGTAGCGCATGCCTGTAATTCCGGTTACTCAGAAGGCTGAGGCGGAAGGATTGCCGGAGCCCAGCAGGATGAGGCTGCAGTGGCCGGGAGCGGCCACTGCACTCCAGTTTGGGTGACAGAGTAAGACTCCAACTCAAAAAAAAAAAAAAAAAAAGAAAATGTGATGCACTTTCAAAATCTGGGACATAACATCAAACTATATCATTCATTACTTAAGCAAACATTGTATTATGTGTTAACATATACTTTGTGTATTGTCAGAAATACTCAAAGTTAACAACACCTTGATTATTCTGTAAAAAAAAATTGTTTAACAAAAAAAAATACAGCGGGGCATGGTGGCTCCCGCCTATAATCCCAGCACTTTGGGAGGCAGAGGCGAGAAGATTGCCTGAGCCCAGGAGTTCAAGACCAGCCTGGGCAACTTGGAGAGACCTCGCCTCGACAATAAAAAAAAAAAAATTAGCCAGATGTGGTGGTGCATGCTTCTGGTTCCAGCTATTTGGAAGGCTGAGGTGGAAGAATTGCCTGAGCCCAGCAGGTGAAGGCTGGGTGGCTGTGAGCATGCCACTGCACTCCAGTCTGGGCAACAGAGTAAGACTCTGATTCAAACAAACAAACAAAAAAGAAAACTAATTTATGTGAAGCTGTTCAGTGAGGTGTATCATTTTATCAAGTACAGACACCCCCACTTAATGACGAGCTACAACATCAGACATGCATTATTAGGTAATTTAGCCATTGTACAAACATAGATGGTACAGCCTACCACACATTTAGGCCATATAGTATTGTCTATTGCTGTTAGGCTACAAACTTGTTCAGTATGTTAGTGTACAAAATATGGGAGGTAACTGTAACACTATGGTATTTGTGCATCTAAACATGGCTAAACATAGAAAAGGTAAAGTATTATAAAATCTTATGGGATCACTATCACATTTTTTTCCCCTCTTTATTTTATTTATTTATTTATTTATTTCTGAGTTGGATTCTCACTCCGTCACCCAGGCTGGAGTACAGTGGCATGCTCATGGCTACCCAAGCATCGACCTGCTGGGCTCAGGTGATCCTTCCACCTCAGCCTTTTAAGTAGCCAGAACTACAGGCATATACTACTACATCCAGCTAATTTTTTGATTTCCTGTAGAGATGATGTCTTGCCATGGTGCCCAGGCTGTTCTTGAACCCGTGGGCTCAGGCAATCCCCTCATCTTGGCCTCCCAAAGTGCTGGGATTACAGGCTTGAGCCACTGCGCCCAGGCTCTTTATTTTATTTTAAAGATGTGGGGTGCAAGTCAGGATTAGGTACATAAATGGTCTACATATAGGTGAAGTTTGGGTTTCCCACTGGAAT